GAAAACCTTATTGCTCCCTCCAGATCCCTGACAGGAGGTTGTGATGGAACGGGAGTCAGCCTTGGTTCCCAGGTTAACAGTGACAAGATGAGAGGTGATGGCTGTAAGTTGCACCAGGGGAGGTTCAGGATGGATATCAGGAAAAACTTCTCCAAAAGAGTGGCTGGGCACTGGCATACGCTGCCCAGGGTGGTAGGGGCATCACAGTCCCTGGAGGTGTTCAAGAACTGTGGAGATGTGGTACTAATGAGCACAGGTTAGTGGGCAGTTCCGGTGGCAAGTAGACAGTGGGACTAAGTGATCTAAAAGGTCTTTTCAACCTTAATGATTTTATGATTGAATCCATTTTAACTGTTTCTGCAGGTATTACGTTCACCACGGTTGGCAATCACAAGGAAAAGGCATCATCAGCACTAGCTAATATTGAATTTAGGAGGAGTCAACAGAATAAACTCAAATGGCTAATTTTGCAAAGCCTGTCCTCAAAGCCTCTAAAAGGCTGACAAAGACAAATGCTCAAATGTTGTGCAATCCCATAAACTATACAGTTGTCATAGGAGGGATGTTGTCTGCACATCCTTTCGTGGCCAGGGTTTGGCACTGTGGCATATGTCTCAGGAATATGCCTGAACAGATGCCTATGAATGAAATATCATAGAATCATAGAAGATCCTGAGTTAGAAGGGACTCACAGGCATAGAATCATAATGTCATTAGATTGAAAAAAACCTCTACGATCATCTAGTCCCATCCCCACAATGCCCTCTAACCCATGTCCTTCAGTGCCACATCTCCACAGTTCTTGTGTTCAAGAGCCAGGGACAACTGAGTCAAACTGCTGACTCCACAGAGGACCCACCAAAATTCAAACCATATATTGCAAGAAAGCTTCATTGTCTTTGACAGCAAAGGGCAACAGATGGAAGCCTTCACCCTTCACCCTTCACTCAGCCAGGTGGCATTTTTCATGCCAAGGTATAGATGCTCTATTCGCTGCTATGGCCTTGGTGATGTTCCTTCCTCGGTGCATTGTCCTCTCCACAAATCCACGGGCTTTACTGTCACTTACTGCTCCTCCCCAGCAATGTGCCCACTGTGTTCCCCTTCTGGCTTTCTCTAGGTGTTCCCAGCAGCCACAGCCCATGGGCTTGATTTGCATCAGTACCACACTACTCCTTGCACTGCTTCGTGTCCACCAGATTGTACTGGGAGAGGAGGGCAAGGGGGAAAAGAGCTCCTGAGGTTATGAAAACCAGCTTGAAACTCAAAGGATGCAAACCAAAGACAAATCACACCACAAAGCCTGACACTCTCACTGCACTCGAGCCATCCAATGACCCGAGGAGATCCAAGTCAGGATTTTCTGAGAATCCAAGGCTGACAATAGACTTCAGTATGGTTTTGAAAACCCCTAGTTCTGGCCTCACAAGCCCTGGCCCTGGCAGCATCCCAGCAGCACTCGTTTCAGAGCGCCTGCCAGCCCTCCTCCCCATGCCATGGAGCATGTGAGCTCCCGCCAGCACTGAAATACCAATTTTAGTGCAAAAACTGGAAAGCAGGAGAAAAATAATTGGGAGGGAAAAGAGGAAGGGCAATGCTTTTAAAGAAACTGGAGAAGAGCCTTCTACTTTCTCTTTGCACTCTTAGCTCAACGCTCAGTGAAGGAGAGCCCAACTGAACTGACAGCACAGCTCTGCTGTGCATATTGCTGGATGGGGTCTGCTGAGGAATGGGGGGAGGAAGCACGCAGCACTAAGCACACATGAGCACTGAGAGGGGAGGGAGAGGTACGGACTGCCAGGACCCATGGCAGGATGATGTCTCACTCATCTCCGGACTCATCTTGCCCCAGCATAGACAGATGTTTTCCTGCTTGCAAACACATCCAAGGATGCTCTATCAAAAAATCATCCTTCACCCCAATGTTCCCACCCAGTGGCTTTTTTAAAGCCACTGCTTGAATGTCTGGATACCGAATTTTCATTTCCAGCCTGGCTCATTTGCTGTTTCCTTCCCACAGACACTTTTTTTTCTTGTACAAAACCACATTCTGCTAGCTCAAACAGCTCTCCTCCATCTGTGGGGTAAATATGGAGCTGTGCAGGCCAGAAGGGATCACAGTGCTAAGACTTCCCAGGATTGAGTCCATGGTGAACAGCAGAGTTTGTACCCTTGGGTTGGACTTACCGAAAACAGACACCAGCAGCGACTCCTCTCACAGAAAAAAAGCACACAGTGATTTGAGCATTGTGATGTGCAGAGGGCTGAGAGGTGGGGGAGCAAAGCATCTCCCTCCCCAAAGTGCCAGGGAGGAATCAGAAGTACAGCTCAGCAGCAAGGGACCATATGGACAGAGCAGGGAGCAGATGAGCCCCAGCACACTGCTATGCCAGCAGAGCTCCTGCTTGGCTCTGAGACCCCGGCACAGAAACTCATCCCTGTCTCCAAAGAGAAAGGCTACACCAGGGCAGGAGGTACAGACCCCAGCACAGCAGCACGCCAGGGAAGGAGCATTTGAGGTGAACAAGGTTAATCTTCCATGAGGTGCTGCGACAGGGAAGGCTAGTGCTAAATCCTCCAGAAATCAAGACCAGACTGCAGCACGTGGAAGTCTGGTCCATAAAAACACAGCTGCACCAGCTTCTCCAGCTAGCTGGGCGGCAGAAACCCGTGCAGCACATTAATCAGGGCTGTGTTCTTATTTGTTATTATTACTACTGCAGTCATACCCCAAGGCCCCCAAACAGATCCCTGCGACAGCAAGACATGGTCTCTGCCCTGATGAGTTGACAAATCCAGCTCAAAACAAGTCTCAGCAAGGCAGCGTGGCAAACAGCAAGGAGGGGGACCAGCACCACCGAGAAAATTGCTCACTTAGCTGGTCTAAACCACGCACGCCTTGACTGCTTCCAGCACATTAAAACGCTCCTGCTTTACAAACTGCCGCCTGTCGCAGCTTTTGTTTTTAACTTTAACTTCTTTTAACCATTTCTAACTCATTTCAAAGTTCTGTTCTGTCAAACAACGGAGGTCACTGAAGAAACAAGCAGGGAGCCTGGAGGAGAGAACAGAGCCATAAAAAGTGAATGAGGCATGGTGGGCTAAATATTTTCTTGCCTCACCTGCCAGATCCCGGAAGCCTCATGTTCTCAGGGTTATATATGGTCGAGCTAATGGCTTTGCACCAGCTGCTGACACTGACCAGCAGTGTGTCACCTTCTGAAAATGGATTAGCCTAAGCTGCTGGTACACTGTCACATCACTGAGCCGATCCCTGATCAAGTCTCCACTATCCCTTATTTCTTGCAAGCCCATCAGATGATGCTAGCATCTCTAAAAGTCCAGAATCTGCAGAGGCCCCCCATAAGTTCCCCAAATGTCTCCGTTTCCATCAGACCCAGCAGTGTTCACGTGCTTGCAGGACTGCATTCTGTGCATTGCTCAAGAAATGCTGGTGAGGCTCATCTACCTTCCTCGGTCTGCAGTACTGGGTGCTGCTTAGAGGATGTCTCCTTCTCCCAGCTCCAAGGAGCAAAGAATTTTTTAGAAGGTTGTTGGGATGTTCCTGAGTCACTTATAATCAGATCTATAGCAATTAAAGCATCAACAATTAAGGCACAGTGACATTTCTGGCTGATCAACAACAGTTTTCCTGAGGAACCAAAGTGTCACTTTTCATTATTATCTTAAATTGTAGAAGAATTTAAAAAATAAAAATTTCCCACTTCACTTGAAAGTGACATTTCCATCTCAATTCAGAAATGGATTATTTTTACTTTTTTTAATTCCAAATGTCTTTCCCTCCATCTTCATTGCTAATGTTTTGTTACTGAAGGCAACAGAACAGGTGCATATGACTGAGTTTTCCCCTCCAACACATATTCTTTTTTCGTTACGAGTTCTCTGAAGTTAAGAGTGGCAGAGGAAAAAAAAAATGAAACAAGTGAGCCTTCTCCAACTTCCTACTAGATGTCCTTAACTTTAGAAAATTGCTTAAATGAGAGATTTAATATTGCTGTTTTTCTTTCTCCTTTCCATTATCATGTAGCCTTCCTGCACACATTCTGAAAAAAGTAGAAAAAGGGGAAAAAAATTACAGACAACTTTTGCCTTATTACACTCAATACAAAAGAGGGAAAAGTGAAGACGGTACAAAGAAGAACAGCCACAACTGAAAATCAAAAGCTGATTTGGCAATTTTCTTGAGTACAATGGAGCCAAGTCTTGAGTACAATACCCAAGTTTATCCCTTTTTCCATGTGTCCACAGAACAGGAACCCAACTCCTACACTTGCTGCTCAACTGCATGAAGAGAGCTGGACTTTAAAAGCAGGAGACAAAGTGAGGCCAGTGGACGGTGACTGGAAAGCTTTTGTTTCACTGACAGAACATCTTCAGAGGCTACTGCAATGGTCGCATAAATATCTACATAGTTATGCCACTAATTCACCTCATATTCAAGAGCCTGCCACAACAGAGGAGAAACAGTAAAACTGAATCAAACCAACAGGCAAGAGACAAAACATGTTGAGACACACTCTGCCAAATCCATCCATCTCTACCACATCCCCAGCTCAGTGCCATGTTTGTAGAGAAGTCCCATTGTGCTGGTGCAAAAGAAAAACAACATTGAAAAGGGTGTTCAAGCTCCAGCTTCTTGGATTGACGTGTACAGGCAGACATGAAACAAGCAAAACTCCTGGAAAAATATCAGTTTTAAGGAAAGGAGACTTGCTTACAATAAAACCAAAGAACTGCTGTCCCCCTGCTCTCCCCTAGCCCTGCACCATTCAGGAGGACAGCTTGCCAGAGGGTACAAGGTTCTTTCACATTCTTATTGATTGATTTGATCCCACAAACTCATGAACCAAGAGTTTGTCAAACACAGTTCGTGTTAGAGGTCAATATCCCTGAATACGACTTCTGTGGATCCTTCCTAAAAAAAAAAACCCACACACCAATGAAACAAACAAACAAAAAAAACCCACAAACATACTCACCATCACCTCCTGGTTGCTTGTATGGGTTGTACTTTGGTTTGGGGGCAACAACGGGTGCAAACTTCTTTGGCGTCTGTTGGGTGGACACTGAGATGCTGGGAGTCCCAAAGGCATGAGTGGTCTCCATCCTTGCTGTAACGTGACCAACAGGCTCGTTGGTACTCTTGGGCGGCAGCCAGGACGGGTGGGACATGGTTCAAATCTGAGAGGAAAACAAGAACAGCACGTACATTAGGAATTCAGGCTGGGGGACCAGCAGCTGTAAACCCCCTAAATGACTTACTAAATTACAACCACAAAACCATTTCATGAGAATTCAGATACAAACTTGTCTTTCTTTGCCCGGCTGGTTGAAATCACTGATCAGTTTGTTTTGGTGTCTGCTAAAGTGTTGTTATTTTCCTCTTCAAACTGTTGAAGTTGAGGCAGACCAATGCACCAGAGAAGCTTATCACTCCTGTTGCCTGTTCAGCACGACAGTCATAGATTTGACTTCCTCCTGCTAGGATTTGGTGAGTACATTAACGTACAGCGGCGCGGTTGCTCTGGGAACAAGTGCCATTACAGGTGGGCAGACACACGCTTCCAAAATACAACCTTTAGCATTTCTCCACATGACATTTATGGCCCCAAATTCCACTGTCTTTCACTTAAACTTTAAAGAAAAAGGATTTCAAAAGCAGCTAATCTTCCTTGATGCCTCCATTTCTGAATGCCCAAATTAAGGTATTTTAAAAGCAAGTCAATTTTGAAAAAATGCCAGAATTCCACAACCACTGACAACCAGGCTCCTTTTAGACATCTCCACTTGTGTAACAGAAAACAAAGGCAGCCCAAACCATTACTTATTTATGAAGATCTTGGCTTTGGTCTCTTAACAGCCTACATCACTTTTGAGAACTGGACTCAGACGCTGCTGAAAATGTTTCCCATAAAGAAAACCTGTTCATAATGGGCTGAACCGCAACAAACAAGCGCTCTCCACCACATACCAGCCATAGCTGTTGGGTAGCAGCAATGGGCCTACAGCAGCACCACGTCACCTCCCTATGCTGGTTCTGAGCTGCAGTAAGGAAGTGAAGACCCTGCATGGACAAAAGCTACTGCTAATTTTGGAGCCCTCAAGTGTCTGTCCATGCTCTGCTTTGGTGTCAGCACACCTCAGGGTTCTGGAAACCAGAAGCAGCTGGGACTTGACCTGGAAAGATTTCTTTACATCAGAAAGCTTGGAAAAGGATTGGTGCAAGAGAGAGCACTGGGCCTGGGCAGACATTAGCTGACTGCTGTTGCATAGAGGCAGTTCCAGCTGGGCAGCTCCAGTCGGGCAAAGCAAAGGCACCACCACACTTACAAAGAGAAACTCTTACTGCTGCCTGAGCAGAGCAGCACCGGGATTTACCAGTGGGTGCACACAGCTCTCTGAGGTCAGGTTGGGAAAACAAATGAGGGCAGATGAAGGGCGGCCTCTGGCTGGTGGACACCCCCTCAGAGTGAAATCATTACCAAGCCTCACAGCTCTACAGCTCTCAAACTATTCTGATACAGCTCTGCAGCCAGGCACACAGCCATCTATTTGAATGTCTCAAGAGAAGGCATTTCCAAAGCTGAAAAGTATAGCCACATGTAGACAGCTATAAAGGTCAGTGCTTAAAACCTGCAAGCAGGTGCATGACTGATATCATCACCTTTGCCACCTACCATCAAACATGGAGACCAAATATCTTCTCACTGATAATAAGCAGGAATGCATCTACAAGAGCATGTCCCACCAACCTGGGCATATTCATGGTGCCACAAAGCTAACATTTCCACGCACACATGTTCTCAGAAAAAAAGCAACTGTCCCCTATATTACATGGAATATTTAGGCAGGAGAAAAGCACATTTGACAACGTAAGTCTGTCTAGAGAAAAACAAAAAAGTAGAGATCCCCTTCGTTTCCCCTTTCTCGTAGTCTGAGACCAGATGTTACTGGAAATGTCAGGACCAAGTAATTGGGACTTGGGTAAAGATCTGGTTTGCCAGCTCATCCTGCCTTGCAAAGCATCTCAGTTCTATAAGCTTTATGGTGGAGAAAAATCAGGTGAGTCTTGTATTGAACAAGCAGATAAGGCTTTTGGATATAGAACAGAGAAAGTAGTCTGATGGACTCTGATATGGACAGCCTTGTCCCAGCAATCTGCTATTAGACAGTAGTGCTGAGTCAGTGGGGACAGAGGTGGGGAAGGAGCAAGGTCTCCATGTGGCAATGTGGAAATGGTACCTCCAGCTATCAGCAGTGCTTGTTAAAACTGACGTATACAGTGTGTGCCTCCTCCAGCCCAGTAAGTTACCTCCAGGTAACAACCTTCTTACTGGAGGATTCAATTGTACTTAAAGACTGCAAAGAAAAGCCAGTCCTCATGTCCGTCCCAAAACTAGGAGACGGGCAGTTTGTGGTCCTCTTCTACCTCCACTGCTCTTTGTGTGCCAGAGGAACTGCCACATGCCTCAGCACTTCCCCACCAGGCAGCGTGGCTGCTGAAGGTCACAGACTTTGCAATCCCTTCTGCTGAAGGATGAGCCCATTGCATTGGACATGTGATACCAGTGAAAGGAACCACTGGGACCAGCATGGAGGGGCTGGCTACAAATGAAGACTGTGGCAGGAGCACCCTGCAGACAGACGAGCATCCAAGGCCAAGGTGCAAGGACAGATCTTACCACCCTCCCAAACACGGCTGCCAGCTGACCTCACACTGACAGAGCAGAGCATCATTCTGAAAGGAAGAAGTGAAAGGCAGGTCTGCCCCTCAGGGCTGTAGAGAAAACCAGCCACGACAGGCAGGATGGACTGCACTCCCACTGCCTGGTATTTCTCATTACCAACACCAGCCTCACCGGACACAAAAAACGCCACCAAAACACTAAAATTCACCTACCTGGCCACCTCTTCCTCTCACATCATTCAAAAATGTAACACATGACAATAAGTCTCAGGCAACTATCTAGGCTTAAGAGCAGAAGTCAGTGTGGGCACTCAGCCTTAAGAGTTAAACAGGACACTTTGCTCTCTTATTATATTTAAAGATCGCTGTATCTTGCCCATTGCTACAAGCATCTTGGAGTTTTATTCTGACAAGTTTTCAGCCCCTGGTTTGCTATTTCATGCGAAAGACCATCCCACTGCACAAAGCTCCTTCAGAGCACAGGCGTTACCTCCACACTGATTCAAAACAAAAAGCACTAGCAAGATTATCATCACCCCTTCTGGCAGCTCCTTATTTGTCCTTAGCCACCTCACAGGCAACACGCCTTGGTCCCCTTACGGTCTGCCACGAGGCAGGGATGGGCTGAGCGATGCATAAACCAGGGCTATCTGCTCCAGCAGCCAGGCCACACAATGCTGGGACAGTTGATGACACTGTGGCATCTCATGAACGAGCTTAAAGAGCAGTTCTCTTATGGGCAGTTTGGGAATATAAGACCACACTGCAGTAACTCAGTTGCTAACTGTAGGCTGGCATGCAGCTTCATCTTGGCTACCCTCTAACACATTTGTGTCAGTGGCGGTGGGGTTTTCTAATTGTTTCCCGTTAGCCTTTTCTCTTCCTCTTTCTCCTCCTCTCATTTTCTGTCATGCATTTGCTGTCACTCGTTTTTGCTATATGTGCCTTAACAATGTTTTCAACAAGTTCCCTTTTCCTGATCTCTTCCAGCCCCAGCTCCCCAGCCTCAATTAAATTTAGCCTAACTACACAAGATCATAAAAAACGAAAATGAATAGATCTCTTTTTAACAGCTGAAGCTGAACTTCTGGGTTTGTTCTGATCTCTCCCCAACACTTTTCTTCTTTTAAGGGCATGTGACTTTGTGCCTAGGGTAAAAGGCCCCAAGCAATGCAATGCAGGGGATTGAATCCTTCTGAAAAAAAGCATGTAATGGAGAATCCACTGCTGCACTCAGTAAACTACACGGGCAAGCAATCAAGTGCCAATATTATGGATTCTCCTTTACATCTGGCTTAAATTTAGCTAGCTCCACCTCCAAGCGCTGGATTTTGATACATTCCTACCTCCCTTCCACACGCAGGTCCTCACAAAACACATCCAGGTCTTTGATGAAATCAAATTACAACATTTAAATTAAGTATCAATTAAACTCACTGGTTAGAACAGACTTCTCTTGATTCACTCCTATATATTTACTCTGAACTCTCTTCAATTTTTCAGCAACCTTTAGGGAGGTGATGGATGCTACCACTTGACCATTTTCTCAGGAATGGAAACTTATCATGGGAATAGTAATAGGATGAATAACATCAAAGACAAGAACTATACCAACTTCAGCTGTGGCTGCCTGAGGTTCTGTTATCCTTCCTTCCTTGGAAGCATTAGTCATTGCCTACTTTTGGAGGTAGAGTATCAGACCAAACTAACCATGATAAATAACATTAAGAGCAAAGAGTAGAATCACACTGCGTAAATAAAGAAAACCCATGTGCTCTGATTCTATCATTAGGATAATCTTAATGCCATAAGTCCAGAAAAATCCCAACAATAAAGGAACACATGACAGCAGAGGAACTGGAGTCCCATGACGAAACTGCACCATCTAAAATCATCAGACTAGGAATTTCAATAGAAGATAACACCAGAAAGTAATAAAAGCCTGACAAGTCTGTTGGGTTTTTTTGTTTGTTTTTAAAGACGTGCAAAAGTACTTGGGTTATTTTGCTTTTAATCACAGGATGTCACTCACCTTTGAGAAGCAAAGGTAACGCAAAGAGGCTCCCGAGTCAATTTAGCCTCATATCAGAAACAATGAAAGGGTAGAGTACCCATTTGTCTATCTAAAGTTGTTAGTACATTTATCTCTGAGGCAGGCTTTTCCATGATTAGATTGTACCCAAATAAATCTTCATTTCATTTTCATATTTATAACACGGACGAAATACTCCTTGGATGTTGATGGACTTTGCCAAGACAGAAGAATTTGTCCCCGAGTTAATTAAGCTAATGCTTCATAGTGGGTAGCAACAGTGCTTAACATAAAATGAGCAACAACAGTCTGTTCTTCCAGACAGTCTGCTCTGTCTTCAATCCTACTTTTTCTTAATCCGTTAGCTTGGTTCAGATTCTCTGTACCCCCCATGCAGTTACCATCAGCCTGAAGGCCACAGGGCTGACAAGATACAGAGATTTTTTTTGCAGACACAGAGTG